TGCGCTTGTAACTTCCGGCGAGATTGTTAGAGAGCCAGCTGATGACTCCTGGGAAAGCGGGATAGATGGAACAGGCGGCTATGAAGACGCCTCCATAGACAACTTTGGGGTTCGAGCTTGATATGCACCTGCGTAGTGGGTCGGTCAGTCATGAAGCTCTCTGAGAAGAACAAGGTAGGCTACTAACATCGAGAATCCAACAATCATCATGCACAAGAATCCAACGATGAAGGGGCTTCTCTTGCCAACCCTGTCTGATATGTATGCCACAATGACTGCGAGAATCGCAGCCGTGATGTAGATCGGTACAGTCATCAGCTGCGCCGTGCTGGACGTGTAGTTCAGGTTTCGGATGATCGTCGGGAGGAATAGACTGATTCCATAGAGCGGGCATACAATCTGGCAAATAGCGTTAGCATCCATTCGTCGATGATAGTGGTCGAAGATAGCCTTACACCCCAGTAAACAAAGATGTTGATCCAAATCTGCCAATCGGTAAACGCGTCTACGACGTATTTCCACTTGAACTCCTCGGCCTCGGCAACTTGCACACGGTTTTCCTGCTTGCCTTGCACCTGGCCCTGGTACTTTAGTCGGAAGACAATAAACGCTCGCTCTTCCTCGGTCAAGAACTTGGCCGTCTCGGGAAAGTCGTGGAGTGCAAAGAACGCCATGATGGCTACGAGAACTGTCACGATACCCTCGAGGATGAAAATCCAGCGCCATCCCTCCAGCCCACCGATGCCGTCCATCTTGGAAATCGCAAACGCGAGGAGACCGCTAAAGGCACCGGCGATGGAAGCCGCCGAGAAGAACATGGCTTGGCGAAGCTGGATTTCGTGGCGGCAGTACCACATTGTCAAGTAGTACTAGTCTTCACATCAGCCAATCTGTCGCCCGCACCGACCGAGATGATGATGGTGGAAAGTGGCAGAGAAGACTTACCGCGACACCAGGAAACAGTCCAGCTTCAGTGACTCCGAGAAAGATTCGAGCTATCAATAGACCGTGGTAGTTCTTCACGGTGCCCATCAAGGTCATGACGAGGCCCCATGCAACCATGATGGTCGGTAGCCACACGCTCGGGCGGAGCTTCTTCAGCAGCAGGTTACTCGGGACCTCGAAAGCGGCGTAGGTGAAGAAGAAGACGGTGAGGCACCAGTTATATTGATCGGCCGTCATTCCCAAATCTTCTTGAAGGCCTTCGATCTTGGCGTTTCCGATGTTTCCACCTGGCCGGGCTGTCAGTCATAAGTCTCAAAAGGAAGGGAAGGATGGGAACTTACGGTCGAGGAATGAGAGGAGGTAGAGTAAAGCCAGCATCGGGATGAGTCGAATATCCATCTGGAAGTTCAACAGTCAGTCTCTCCATGCATCGACGATGGTAATGGGAATAAAACCCTCACCTTTCGCAGGATCTTCTTTTCATCCAGATGCGCAAAGGAAGCCAGCGTTGTGCCTTGCGCCGTAGCTATTGCGTCGATTCGCTCAATCTCCCCCTTCTTCGTAACAGGCTCATGCTCTCCATTTTCGAGCTCTGAAATTTCAAGTTTCTCGTGGCGCGAAGCGTACGAGGAGTCCATCGTGGCGATGCCAAATCACCTTCTGTGTTGGTCTCGAGCTAGGTATCGTCGGGTGCCAACATTCACTGGAGCTTCAGGCTTCGAAAGTCGATAGAGGTTGAACGTTGGTCGAGCGCAATCACATGGAACATCTGCGATCAACCTCTGTTTTCGCGCCCCATGGCCTGAATATAAACCTTCGGGTATCTCTCCGTGGTTCGGACGCAACCCACACAACCCAAACAGGTTGCCAAAGATTCCCGTCGTCAGCGGCTGGGATGAGCCCCATCGGCGAAGAAGCTCGGCAGATTGAAACGTCCAATGGATAGGAGGGGGAGCGGCTACTCTCCATCCCGGAAACCCACCAAATGGTCCAAATACCCACGCCCGAGGGCGGGAGTCTACCTACCCCGCGTTGCTTATTTCGACTAAGGTGAGCGGAACGTTGGCCGCACTGACAACGGACCCACGTGGTAATGTGAGGGAGGTTCTGGGATTGGGTAGCATTTGCCTTGATTGCAGTAGATCAATGTGTAGAGGGATCGGCGGAGCGGAGAAAAGATGGGTTGTTTGCCTGGTTCGTCTTGGTTTGTCTTGCTTGGGATCGTGATGTCACTTGGAGAATGCGGGGGAAGAAGACGATGCTCGGCCCGCGGCCTGGAGCTCTCCTCACTTAGCTGCGTGCGGGAACGGCACTGCATTCCGTCGACTTGCATTGGGGTAGCTCAACGGGCTCAAGATCTGGGCTCCGAGAGAGGATGGGAGAAGAGCTGGTGAGACTAGGTAGGTCGAAGTCGGGCTGTCAAACTAGCGAGTTGCAACTAGTAGCCGAGGTGAACAAATCTCAACTTGATGTACAGAGTTCAGAAGTCTAAAGGAGTATCATCAAAGCGCCAATAATCCCTATCCCGTGCCATGCACCAGCATAATTTAATAATCAGATTGGAAACAAAGCAACCCCAAAGTCTTTAAACGCCTGGATCCAATCAAACGTATCAACGCCCGCTTGCTCTAGTTCATCCCGTCTTTCCCACAAACGCTGAACCACCTTCCACTGCGTCCGGCTGTTGGCAACCCGGTAGCACTTGATCCTCTCCCACCAGTGCTCCCACGGTCCGCGATCGCTGGCGTCGCACGAGGCTACAAACGCAGGCCACGTTATGGGCGCCATGAAGTTGGTCTTTGTGGACTTCGACCGCGTCTTGATGTCCTCGACGGCGTGCATATGGTCGGCGATTTCGGCTAGGAGCTGTTGGTGGTTTTCGCTGTGACAGTTTTGTATGCGTCGGTGGTAGTAAATGACCGCAGCCAGATGCCACGCGTTCGCGTGATGTTGAAAGATTTCCAGGGTCTCGGCATCCTGGTTCATCGCTTGGCGAACGTCTTCGAGGTCTAGGGACCAGTTGCAGAGTCGGTCGCCGAGGCTCTCGCAGGCTTCGAGCAGTCCCTCTGGGATGGGCTCCTCGGTGCCTTCGTACCAGAGGAGATACTCCGCCAGTCGGCAGGTCTCCTCGATATCCACAGCGATGGCGGGTGTGATGCCGTACATGTATCCGAAGCAGCTGTCGGGTTCTGCCTGCGATGCGATTGGCTCGTCTATGTCCTCGGCACCCTCCGAAGGCCATGGCCCTGGTGTGAAGGAAAATGAGACCGTGCGAGTGAGAAGGTATAGAAAGTCGCTAATCTCATTCAGTTGCCGCGTAGCTCTGCTGATAACTTTCCATCGGCGTCGCGTTTTCCGTAGCTGTTTTGTGCCTTGAAGGTGAACCACAAAGTCGGCATCACTACCCGTCGTGAACTGTGTGATAGGGCTCAGCATACATCTCTTGTCACGGTTGAGGAGTAGGAGAGAGAACTCACGTTGCTAATGGTTACCATTGATAACATGGCCACCATGAGAAGCTTGTACTCCGATGTTGCCATGGCGGGGTTGATGGCGGACTGTAAACAATGGAGCGCCAATTGGCGATGTTGCGACCCTAGAGTGAGATATTTCGTCTGCTCGGGGCCACAGTTGCCGAGATGGAAAGCAGATGATGCTATCAGCGAGTGGAAAATGACTGAAGAAACTGTAGGAGTGGTTATCTTTGCTTTCGGCAGCCATTCCGATATGGCCTGGAGAGCTGCTGGGACGTACAGCTTTCGATAAGGATTCTGGGGATGTGGAATGGGCTGAAGTAGACTCGCGATGTTCTCCACGTAATGATGCATGAGTCTGTCAATGACTGCGTCGCCCGATATGCTGGTAGATATTCGTCGTGGCAGTCTCATGTATGAAATGTCGGTTTGCGGTTGAATCGGCAATAACTCGACTGAGTCTTCCAATAGCCCTGCAATGTCGCCCAACGTAGAGTTGAACTCTTCCTGGAGCTGGAATTCTGGCGTGGCTTGGTCATCTTCCGAATTTCTGATGAGCTCCACATCAAACCCAACTTGATTTGGTGACCCGTCCTCTCGTGCCGTGGAGAAAGAAGGACTTGAGCTTGCGCAGTCAGTGTAGATTGGAGAGGCTGTTGCATCCTTCTGGGACCGTGTTGATTCTGAGCTGTGATGAGCACTGGTGACCCATGAGCAGTCCGAGATTGCAACGTCGGGACTTTTCAAATCATGAGTCTGGCCAGATTCATGGGTGCTATCGTTGGCTTGAAAGAGAGTAAAAGGGCCTTCTTGGATGATACCCTTGGAGGTTGGTGCTTCTTCGAGGGATGCCAAGAAGGAGTCAATGTCTCTCATCCGGTATTGAGGCCCTGTATCACGGCCTACACGTGGCACAGCCAATGTGTATCAGCCACTAATACCAGAACATGTGGGCAGAAAGGGTAAGTAAGTAATGGGATGGGAATCCTACCGATTCGTATTCTCCCCCTGCCATTACTGCTGCTGCCAGGCTTCTCCTGCTCGAGAAATGGATTCGAAACGTTGATCCACTGAAGCTTGATTTCGTAGCCTTCGCAAGGAATCTTCATCTTCTCACAGTTCCCACAGGCAGAGGACCTCTCATCACACTTGACCTTGCGCCTCTTGCAGGTCCAGCACCTGTTGTCGCCCAATGAATCGCGCACAAGTCAGTCCACACCCCTGTCAAAGTGGTCCGAGACATTCTCCCACACACTATCTCGGAGGGACAGAGCAGAAAACGTACCCGGTAAAGGTCATCGACCGCTGTCCCGATTTAGGCGGCGGCATCGTGGGGTCATGCTCGGGAGCGGATCGCCGGTGGCTGCCTCGGACGGGCTCCTCATCAAGGCGCCTGCGGTGAAAATTCCGGGGTAATGCCCACCCGCAGATGCAAGGTCAGCACTCGGAGACTTTGATTGAAGGTGAGGAGAAGTTGGGCATGGCGCAGATGGCATACCGGGAATTTGCGGCAAGACACCACGCCTTTCTCGGACCGCGTCGAGATAAGCAGGGTCTCTTGATGAATACGGTGCTATCACGGAAAGTTAACCCCGCTATGCACTGTTAAGGACGTGTTCAAGGTGCAGGTTTGCGCGAATTTGTGCTTCGAACACAGTGCATTTATCAAACCTTGTTGCAAGCGCGGTGACTAATGATCGCGATCACCTCATGCGGATTAGACTACGACGAAGCAATGTTTCGCTTGATTCCGGCAAGAGATTAAATACCGCGCAAAGGAGCACTTTGTAAAGAAAAGATGATGTGGTCCTTGAATCTGGTCATATCGCTCATTATACACAGATGTGTCTTCCAATCCCGGACTTCACAGATCTTTTGTTGCTAGAGAGCTTCACCCTTTGAAGAATGCCCATGACCAGTACCTACTCAGCCTCTGTTGGATACGACTCGGGAGTCTCATTAACCTGAACATCCCCTCTTTTAGAATATCGACTATCAGCAAACGGCAACGGCCATCCACCCTCCTCTTCCGAGGTAGCAAGCCAAAGTCTCTGTAACCAGCGTTTCTTCGTAACATCATTATCATCCTTGTACGCCGATCGCGCATGAAGGTTATGAGTGTTGGCGACAAACTGGATATCACCCTGCTGCAGCGTCATTTCCAATGACAGTCGACGACACATCTCTTCCATCACCTGGATAGCCTCACGCTGCGCATCGGTGTACTGAGGAAGAAGTCCGGCGTCCCAGAAGCGGTGTAAAGCTCCGACGTAGTAAGAGTCCCATTTCATGCTGAGCCTCCCCTTGTACCAGTAGTAACCCGGAGTGCGCATCCACTCATTTTGTCCCTCGCTCGTCTCCCCCTTTCGATCGTAGAACCAGTGTGGGAAGCATAGCTGGCGTAGTACATCTGGTCTTTCTCGTCTAAGTGTGTTGTAGATGTTGTGACTGGAGACCACCTGTGACTCTCCACCCTCCATTGCTTGGTGAAGGCAGAGCAGGCCCACTATATCGCTTTCGTCCGTGTGGTATGTCTGGGCTTTCTGTGTGCGATAGATTCTGCCCTTACCGTTGACTTCTTTGCCTTCGGCAAGGTCCTTGATGTGACCGAGCATGTGCCCCTGACGGTTTTGGCTCAATCGGCGGCCGATGTAAGAGCCAATGCCGAGGTATGCGATTGAGGCTTGTCGAGTGGTCCAAGATTCGACGGGAAGACCACGTAGTACGACGAAGCCCACTCCGTTGATCAGTTGATCTCGAATTCTATATAGAAAATCCACAACGGGGTCAGGGAGCTCGAAGGTTGCCTTGTCGACTTCAGAGAGCTGAAGGCCTCGGTTTTCGATATCTTTGACGGCAGCAATGATGTGTCTGACCTGGTCTTCGGTAAATTGATAAAGCCAACGCCCAGTATCTTGACTCAGCTCCTCCTTTGTCCAGACGGTTGAACCAGTAACCTCCTCTGGCATGGCTTCGAAGGGCTGCAAGAGATCGTACTCGGGTTCTCGTTGTCCGGAGCAGAGTCCAACACCACGGCCCCAACGGCCTTGAGTTGAAGCAACTGTAGGAGTGATGGATACTGTAGACATGATGTAGATGAACAATGGATCACAAAGTTAAGAAGTTAAGATGAATCCAAGTGACCGTGGTGACGATGCGCTTTGTCGTATCAGCCGCAGCAGATGGACCGGCGAGGAAAGCATTGTGTCCGAGGAAGCCGTCGATTTGTATTCGAATGCAAAGAAGAGTCGATGGACAGATCGCCTCTCTTCTGTGATAGTACTGTCTTCGTCGTTTCCTTCCCTATAGGTATGACGTCTCAAGATGACTGAAGGAACAAATGACATCTTGCGTCGGCGTTGTCTAATCTCGACTAACTTCTCAACGCTATTACGCTCACGTACCTGCAGCTAAGGTAAGAATACAAGATATGAGATTAACTGGGACAATGAGCAAACAAGTGTTGAGTAATTCCAAAGTTGTCAATTATTGTATTGGGCTGCGATAAGACAACGCCCGCAAGCATGTCATGGGGAAAGAGACTCCGACAGGATCCACCTTAGCCAATTTGGGCTGAAGATGGCGTCAAGATAGGGCGTCGCTGTCAGCTGCCCGGGCTAGTAGTTCCAGGTAGCTGGAATGAGTCGGAATCTCTTGCAGTGATACGCATGGCGAATGTCTTGCATGGTTCCAGCTGGTCGGTTCGCCTCTCTGGATTCGGATTCTGGGGTGTCGCAATGGTAGTTAAAGCCCCTGACATAGTGCTCTCACAAGAAGCCCATAATGATATCAGGATCGATCCAGTCGGTGTTACAGTTGTCTCATAATTGACGTTTTCTCAGCCAAACTATACAGCATTGAATTCATAACACTTTCTGCATCCAGATGAGTCAAGTCTTTTAACTTCAACATTTTAAAAATGGCTACAACTACTACCGCATTGCAGTCCGTCCAAACGCGAGCCTCGGTAACAGAACATCGGGGTACCGAGATACAAGCTCTCCGCCCAAGAGTCGAAGACACATTCATGGACGGCTTGTCAACTATTGACGGAACCGGCGCAACAATCGGCAGAAGTGCCCCCATCAAGGGCATTCCCGAATTCTCAGACCCGCTTCAAGAACGCAAATGGATGCTGGATCGTATGGCCGGCGCCTTTCGAGTTATTGCCCGCAAGGGATATGTTGAAGGCACCGCTGGTCATATCTCGATTCGTGACCCAGTCGACCCTGACACCTTTTGGATCAACCCGTAAGTTGCACAGTCCCCAGTGACCTACAGCACAACTATCTCACTACGTCTTGATGTTCCTAGCCTTGCTCGCCATTTCGGTCTGATGAAAGTCAGTGACATGGTCCATGTCAATATGAAGGGAGAAATCATTGGTGGAAACTACGTGAGTCCAGATTATCGTGCCTTCGATGGACCCAGAATTTGCGGATCAGCTAAGTCACATCGCTTCTTATAGGCATGTATCAACAACGCCGGTTTCAACATCCACTCTGCTCTTCACGAAGCCCGACCCGACGTCAATGCAGCATGCCACTTCCACAGCATCCACGGCAAGGCATGGTCCGCCTTCGGGAGACCACTAGAAATGCTCAACCAAGACGCGTGCACATTCTTCAAAGATCATGCCGTTCACGACATGTTTGGCGGCATTGCATTCGAAGCCTCGGAAGGAGAGAGGATAGCTACAGCTCTAGGCAACAAAAGGTGTGCCATCTTGAAGAACCATGGTCTCGTGACGACAGGGAAGACGGTCGATGAGGCGGCGTTCCTGTATACCCTGATGGAAAACTCCTGTCGCATACAGCTTCTTGCAGAGGCTGCTGTAGCATCGGGGATCGAGAAGCACCTTTGTCCTGATGCCGAAGCTGAGTATACATACCGGTTGACTACACCTGAGGCCATGTGGTTGGAGTTCCAGCCGGATTACGAATATGAACTGGCCATGTCAGGCGGAGACTTTCTCTCATGAACTTTGCTTTGAAGAGTACTTTCTGGGAAGATCTAATTTTGTTGCATTGCATGACTTTCGGAGGCACACCGGCGACTTTCAACGTCTATTTACTGTTAGAAACATGTGCAAGTCACAGATAGTTCCTCGGTAGTCTCTCTAGCTTCGAAACTCGGATTTATAATCTATCATTCCAAAAAGACGGGGGGTTCCTTCGACGTAGTAAGCCCGAAGCTGCCATGTTTGGAAGCGCACAATTTGTGACTAAGGGCACGATATAGCGGGGCAGGTAGGGCATCTGTGCAATCAAATATCACCAAGTGCTACCAGTTAACATCGATTTTCTACACAAGGCAGATCGTAAATTGACCAATTCTGGCCAGATGAAAGTGGCCTATGAATCATCAGATAAACCCTGCCTGCCGAGCCCTGAGGTTGACTATGTTTAATTCCAACGAACTCTGGGCGTCAGCTTCAGGTTGGACTTTTGGCCCCCAGTTCAGAATGATTGGTTCGGATTGATGACCTTGATGCAAGCGCGTCTCACCTGCTGCAAAATGAACGAATAGATACGCGAGATGCCATGATGGTGTGTAGCACAGTCTCTGCGCCTCAGTTCAGCCTGCTTGATCCTCACAGCCCAGTGAGACATGTGCGCAGCTCTGGTTGGGTCCCTGGTCTTCAACTTCCACGGATGTCGAGATAGTGCCAATGACTGCAAGATCCTTCGAGATCCTGTGTCTCCTTGTAAGTGAGTGAGATACTACATAAGCCATCCCTTGCTGTTTAAGCGGTGTCAATTTGCCTAACGTGCCTTTTTCCTGTTTCTTCTTGCTCTTCTTCTCTTCTTCCTGGATGACGTTCTCGAGAACAAAGTCCATGCCTTTCCTTCATCCTGAACACAGAAGTTCCAGCGTATGATGGACTCTTCCGGCCCCGAGACGTACGTTCCTCATACTTCCCACAAACAAGTAGTTCCCGAACAACCGCGGCAACATGAATCATCGTACTATGCGCCAACAACACCTGAAACTTATTCATCGATTCCCGTTAAGAACGAACGTACTATTTGCGGACTGAGGCCAGCGACATTTGTTCTTAGTGTTTTGCTGGCTACAGTGATAGTGGTAGCCGCTGTTGGCGGTGGCGTTGGGGGTTCACTGGCAGTCCAAAAAGCGAGAGAGTATGGCTCAATGTCAATTCCTTTCTTCCACCACAAATTTCTAATGATTGGTTTTTAGCGATGCAATGTCGTCCGTAGCATCGCCCACTACAGTTGTCACGACCACAGTCACTTCGCTGGTGCCTGCATCGACGGACAGCGATAGCCCGATAGTAGTTCCAACACAAGGGAAAATCCAGCTCCCCTGTCCCGCCATGGAGGGCGAAACGAGAACAATTGCACTTTCTGATGTTGATGCCAAATTCGTTATGCATTGTGGCATGAGTTTTGGAGCAAAAGGGGCTCTAGACATTGTTGCCGTTGTAGTCTATTCGTACTTGGACTGCCTCAGGGCTTGTGCATCATATAATCGCAACTCAGGGTCGAAAACATGCGTCGCGGCGACCTTCAACGCGAATCTGGGTAATATTGGCCCAAACAATGGGAATTGTTGGCTCAAAAATGCGACTAGTCCCCGGTCGATATCTGATAATTCTGCTGTGGGTGGCATCCTGGATTGAGCATTTAGTCCCCTCCTCTTGTAAATATTATGACCGCTACACCTATGCTGGGTAGACTATTAGTCCTTACTCAGATAGAACGAAGGACGTCTACAGTTTACAAGCAACAGGTATCTGCTGACCACAATACCATATAGTCGATAGGTTTTACTTACAAACAGTTCTAATCCTCTTTGTCGCTCGTAGAAATGAAGGTTTGTCCTACTATATAGCGCAAAAGAGAATGAGATGGAGTCACCAGAGTTCGAGGTTTTAACGTTCCTTGCGATGGTTGCTGCCTTGCAATAAGTTATCAATCTGCTTACGAAGTTTTCTCTGACATAACGTGCCGACCTTGGCCCCCTTCCAGTCTACCTCACCAAGTCGTCTAACTGCATGCCAACCCACTTCCGACTACATATACGTGAGCCTCAAACATGGGATAACTCAGCCTCCTTCGTGTCTAGCAGCGTGAAAAGAATCATGGGGATCACCAACGGGGATCACCAACTAAACATCCCTATAGTTATGATGTATCAGTCGCCAGCAAGCGACTCGTCTGGACATACGCTCAGCGGCTATCTTGAGAGGCGAGTGTAATTCTCGCTCAACTACACCGGATTTCATGTGGATGAAGTTTTTGCCGGACTATGGATATGAACTGGCTTTAGTACCCATCTAGGAGATTTCTTTGTTGTTAACGATGCCCCCGACTTATCATTGACTTCCATTATGAGTATAAGACACGCACATAGGTTCACCTCCCTTTGCTTCATGATTGAGAGTTTGATGTCGACAACAGCTGATGCGAACCAACATAGACGCATCATTAAACTTGATGTTCCAGGATTGAGTACATCTTAGAATCACTGAGGTTTGTCACACCACATCCGATTACTGAATGTTCTATGTCTAGCGGGTGGTGTTGACTTCTTGATATTCAACAAACGTTTGAGGGAAGTATCGTTGTGCATCACATCCGGCATTTCTCTTATCTCCACTCTCACGTTGCACCCTTGACTCTGAAAGTGATGCGAGATCATGGTTTGCTAGAATTTGCACATTGTAATTCGAATGCTCCGTTTAATTCGATTCGATACACGATTTTGACGCAAAATGGCCTGACACGCTGTCCAACTGATCGACGGCCAACGCGTACAAAGAACGATACACTGTGTAGTACAGCCCTAGCATTCAAGCCTAGCCGGCCTGATTCTCTTAGCACAGTCAGACATGTACAAAACTCTCTCCGAGCTTCAGGTGCTTGTACTTCCCCAGATAAGCAATGTGCTACAGTTGGTGTGTTAGAATCTCAGTCTCTTTGACGGTATATCGTACACTCAGTCACACATGAGGGCAGTCCGGGTTGTATGAGCGATCACCAGACCTCTCTGAAGGTCAGCAATGTTTCAAAAACTAAAACTTAGACGAGAAATTGCTAGCTTTTGACTTTCTAGAAATTAAAGACTAGTCAGTTCTGTGTGAATAACCAGCCGATGTTGACACCAGTGAGTTCATTATTAGCTCAACATTTGGTCGTTGGCTTCCTCTTTTCCATCCCTCCTATTCCCTCTGCCAGTTCACTTTCCGTTGACACTGATATCTGCTCCTATCTTCTTTCGTGACGAAGAGTCTGAGATTTCATGCCCTGCTTCATATTGGGGTACAAGAGCACATGATGGACTCTACCGGCCCTGAGGCTTACATCCCGGATGACCCCGAGGCCTGTATTCCTGACAAAACCCAGAAGCAAGTGGCTCTTGCATGTGATCATCCGACTCAGCACGTTTCGGAATCGGAAACCCCAGACTCTCCGACAAACAAGGGTGCAATCCTCGGATTGAGGCCAGCGACGTTCGTTCTTAGTGTTTTGCTAGTCGTGGTTGTGGTGACAGCAGCTATTAGCGGTAGTGTGGGTGGCACGTTAGCTGTTAAAAAAGCAAGAGAGTATGACTTCTCTATGATAAGGTTGACGATTGATGAGACGTCTAATAGACTAATGATCAACGACCAGGTCTGTCTTGTCCTCCACCACCGGAAATTCATCAGAAGTGCCAACACAACACATAGAGATACTCGACCCTCACTGTTCCAACATAGACGGCAAATCAGAAACGATTAAATTATGCGACGGAGAGGCAAAGTTTACGGTTCATTGCAAGACGAATTACGCACCAGGGGAAACAAATGATATAGTAGCCATTGTGGCCCGCTCGTACTTGGATTGCTTCAGGGCTTGTGCGTCATACAATCGATATACAGGATCCAGAGTGTGCCTTGGAGCAGTTTTCAATCGAAGTCTGAACACCACAGGGGGGTATAATGGGAATTGCTGGCTCAAGAAATCCTTGAAGACCCGCGAAATGGCAGACGGGCTGTTGGGCGGCCTTCTAGAGTAGAAAAAGTTCGAATGTACCAGGGTTTCAGACTGTCACGGGCTATCTCTCAAAGTTCAGCATCAAACCACTCCTATCCAATTTCTGCGTTCTTCTGATGAAAGAATAACGTAGGAAGTGTAGGCCGCTTTGTTTTGTGTGCTTTCTGACTCTGTAAAGATTTTACCTGGCCCCGACCATGCTGGGTGGTCGTCTCCGATACGTTGTCCTTTGGGTTGATGAAAGTGAGATTTATTTCTTTCAAAGACGGTGGCAAATGTTCCCAGGATGGGATGGCGACCCCATGACTTGATAGTCATAAATCACTATCCTCGCGACGATGTAAAGTCGAGCACTAGAAGGTTCTCGGAAGGTTTCCTCGCAGTCAGGACTCCGGGGGAAAACTTCAAAAAGTATCACGCTTCGGGCCGTTTCAGCGGGTCCTCTCGCCCCATGCCTCTCCAAGCCAATTCCCCGCCTTGGACCTGCTTATTCGAACAAGTGCTGATACACCGCCACTGGGTCGTGCCGAGACCCATTCAACTTAATATAAACCACCCGAGCGAGCCTATGGGAAACCTGCGGAGATCTCGGATTGCGGGAGCCTAAGTAAGATCCCCGCGTTTAATTGCGAGATGACCAATTGGGCTCTTTCCGGCTCTGGTAACCATGGGTGCGTCTCTCGTGTTGCTTATAGTCTGGTCCTAAGCTCAAGATAATGGCAGGCTGCCAAGGGTAGCCACTCTCACCCGTTGTTGCCCATGAGTTGTTGATCTGACTTTGATACTGGGGCTGCCATGTCACAAGTGGGAGCCGAGACTTGGCGCCCCATTGCTCGCGTAGAACACGAAGAGAATCACTGTGAAAATCCAGGCCTTAGCAGATGTCGGGAACGCGAGAAGTATCCCGCAGTCACTCAACTATTGGGCAGGAATATGAGATTGTCAACATCAAGGTCCAACACTTTACCGGGCCTATTGTTCGGATACAAGCTCCTCAACCTGCTGACAAGGACTCATTGATGGTAAGAGTGAGGTTATATTCGAGTCTTGTGGCCAAGAGACTAAGACGTGCATGTGTTAAACTGAATATCTAACTAACGATTTGAGGCGACATCAGCCCCATCGTGAGGATTCAATTCCTTGCAGCTGAGCCAGCCATGCTCGGAAACTCTACATCCTTCGACAGCGGGGCAACTCTAGATGTCCAAAAAACTTCCAGTAGTGGCAAGCGTGGCATCCTCTCGTCGAACGTCCTCCTCAGTGACTTCTCAAGGCACCTCAAGAATGCCATCTCAATGAGTATAAATAGATTAATGGCGGACTCTTCGCTGTGCCTTTTCTCTTCAGACCATTACCTCAACTCATCATCTTCTAAGCAATCTTGATCAACGTCTCTTCACTCACAAAATGGTTAACCTCATCCGCGCCGCCGGCCTTCTGGCCCTTGTCCCCTTCATTGCCGCTGCCCCCACTGCTGCTGAGGCGACCGAGCAGAACGTCCCTTTCTCTTTCGAGAAGTGGGCTGAGGACATCATTGCCAACCCCAACGGCCAACATCCTTCCCCCGAGGAGGCCATGGCTCTCGCATTTAACCAGACTTCAAGCGGTTCGTAATACATTCTTGGCTTCTTGCTATCCCATGCGAAAGATAACCAAAAGCTTACTGTTGTTATCCAGACGGTCTTGAGAGACGCCAGCAAGATGTCAGCTGCACCTTCAACGACAACGACAACGCTGCTTCTGTAATTTACTTTCGTATTCCCTTCCGTCAACTTATCACAGGACTGTTGCGTGTTTACCGCACAATGATACGTACATAAAGATGCAATCGCTGATATTGATCGCGTTTCATAGGTCGCTGATGCCGTGTGGTGCATCGACTTCATCGCTGCCCGTGCCAATGTGCAGTGCAAGGCCGTCGTCAGCGCCACTGTCTTCTGCCACCGTGGCCAGGCTCAGATCGCCGGTGTTGCTACCGGTGGCAACCCTCCCAGGGACACATCCAGTCCCTGCGGCAATGTTGCCCGGTCGGCGGGCCAGATCATGGACGCTTGCACCCGTGGCAGTCTCGTCTTCGGGCAGAACAACGCTTGGGGCAACGGCAACATGAGAGTGCACATCCGTCGCTAGGAATATTCCATACACCTTTTAACAACGTAGGGAATAAGGGCGGGAAAATCCAATTTTGTTGTACATAGGTTGCGATAAGCACATAAGAATTATTGGAAATATGATTCACTTCTCCAAATTCAAGAAACCCCATTGCTTGGTATGCAAAACGCTGTAGAGAAATTCCAAAGTTGGAACCGGCTCGTCAAGTTTCTTCGCTGTTTTAATAGGATTCCCCAAAATCACCTCAATCTCCATTGGCTTCTGTCTTATCGCGTCAACCTGCATACTCGGCTTCAAACGGGCTTCTTTGGGCGTAAATGCGACCATGTCATCCAGGATCTCATCGGAGAACATATGCCCCGCTGCTCGAGCAACTGCCACGATATCTTTCATGGCTGGGCGGATCAGGGTGTCCAGACCACCGGCATCCTGAACAACGCCCGAGTCCAAGTTTGTAATGGCACAGACGGTATTGAAGGAAGCATTCCAGATGAGCTTTCGCCAGCGGAACCAAGAGATATCCGTCTGGATGTTGCATTTGGCGCCACCATTGTTGTAAATCTGAGCAAATGCGGTGCACGCGTTGCTCTGATCCTCCGGTGTAAACTTCGGGTTTGGCCAGTACGCAATATGAAGAATATCTGGGTCATTGTGCAACATCTCGCGGCCGTTGAGTTCGCACCCTATCAACGGGACGCCTGAAAGTAAGATATTGTTTGGAAAGACTTCCAGTAACGGTTGCTCAATATCAATGCCGTTCTGAACGAGCACGATTGATGTTTGGGCTGTAATCGCGGGACGGATAATATCCGGGATCGAGTACACATCGGGCAAGTTCTTCATGGTCACCAAGACAAAGTCGAAAGGGCCATGCCTGAGAGCATCTTTGAGGGATCTTTCCACTGTGCCGCATCAACATCATTAAGTTTAGGACATATGTAAATGGTAAGCGACTCACTGTGATGGGGTCTCCAGCCATCAATTTCCCCGTGGTCTATGCTGTGGATTTGATAGCCGTGGTCTTGAACTAAGTCATAGTTGGAACGTAGGATTGCAGTGACCTCCGCGTCTCCGGAAATCTGAAGTGCGTAGGCACACATGGTTCCGACAGAGCCGCAGCCCACTATGAGAATTTTGGCTTGCTGCGTCATGGTGAAGTCAAGTTGGGGAGCTAAGGTAGGTCAAGAAAAATGGGAAGATGATGACTTCTCGATTTAATGAAGCAGAGAATCTTGTCTAATGTTGTTCATTTCTTATCTGATATTAACAAGTGTTTTATCGAGTGCCTAAATCAATATCGCTCCCATGTCTCTTAGACTCCTTAGCGCCGGACTAGAGTCGGGCAGGAGACTGCGAGGCCTTGCCACTCATACGTCTGACAATATCCTAAGATCGACCTACATGGCGCTTGAAACGCGCCCGCAACCCTTCTTTGGGCTCCTCCAATGACTCCTCTGCCTCCAACTCTGCAAGTCCGGTCTTGAGGTCCACCTCATGAGAGGAGATGGCCCAGGAATCAGCGCGATGTAGAAATCGATGGACAAAGTAGATAACGATAAACAAAGGCAGTCCGATGTACGCTGAGAGAAAGTCTGCCACGGACCAGCGAGATGGGAAGAAGACAGTGAAACCGTTAAGAAGACACAGAAGTCCGAATATGACTAGCGAGATGTATGACCCAACAGGCTGCAAGAAAGATCGTGCGACAAGAGCTGATTTCGGCAAATTCTGAACGTCGCAGGCCTTTCGGAAGCGGATGTAGATGATTCCGCAGCAGACCCAGGAGATGAAGCCTCCAGTGTTGACGAGATTCAGCAGCCAGTTGAAAACGTCTGCTGCGTTGGAGTTGACGTTCATGTAAGCCAAAAGCGAGAATAACGAGCTGGCTATGACGGCGTAGATGGGAACTCCTTGCTTGGTGCACCGCTTGAAGATCCGCGGGGCGCTGCCTTCACAGGCCATCGAGTACAGAGATCGGCTTGCTAGATAGAGGAACGAGTTGCCGGCGGACCAGGCGGCCGTAACCACGACGGCGTTGATTACGCTATCGAGTCCCTTGATTCCCGCGTTCTTGATTCCCACAACCCAGGGAGAAGCAGCGGCTCCAGAGCTTCCGCTAGTGAGGGCCGGTGCGTTAGAGGGGCAGATGACGGAGATGGCAATGGTGCCGCCAATGTAGAAGACAATCAATCGCCAGAAGAAGTTGCGGGCGATTTTTGGTAGGTTTCTGCGAGGGGACTGGACTTCTCCAGCAGTGACAACAACCATCTCGGGCGAAAAGGTGAACGGGAGCACACTGCTAAGAAGAGTTGACAAAGCGGCCACGAATCTGCCGGCGTCACCTTGAACGATCAACTCCTTGGTAGCGCCGGGGTCCTTCCAGTACCGGAAATAGAGGCGCTCGTGGGATGGACCGCCGCCGAAGAACAGAACGATTGAAAGGATCAGCAGACCGACGATGGTCAGGACTTTGAGTCCAGCGAACCAGAACTCCGTTTCGCCGTAGAACTTTACAGGTAGAAGGTTGAGGCCGACAACCATAACCAACATAATTGTGATCCAGACGGCATTATTGACGTTCGGATTCCAGTACTCAATGACCAAGGCTGATGCCGTGAGCTCGAAGGGGACGAAGATGGCAAAAGAGTAGAAGTAGAGCCATCCCATCATGAAACCGAGACTTCGCGAGACATATCGACTGCCGTAGTAGTTCATGGTGCCGCCTGGCAGCGGAAGATACGTCGAGATCTCAATCACTGCAGTCAAGACCATGTAGATCAAGGCCGACATAACGACATAACTGCCAACGAGGAAAGCCGGTCCGCCGCGGGCCAGGGTGCTGCCGGAACCGACAAAGAGGCCAGTGCCGATGGTTCCACCAAGAGCGATGAATTGTGCATGTCGGGCAGAGAGGCCGCGCTTAGTTGAAAGTTCTGCAGTTTCCGTAGCTTCGATGGATTCTGGGTGGGATGATGCTGCAACATGGCCTCCAGCCTTGTTGTCGCTGTCGCCTTCTGTCTTTGTTTCCATCATATTTGCTTGCTGATGTTCGCCACAAGGAGAGTGCGACGGCTCGAGAATTAATGATGCAGAAGTTTAGAGACGGGGATGTTGATAGGGTTCATTGAACAAGCTTTCCCGAAAAGCTTCACCTTGAGTCTCTGACTACCATCAAACGACTTGACATGTTACCTCCCGACTGCATTTATATTTATACTTGAAGAACCTTGTAGATATTGAATTCACCATACTTTGAAGATATTCGCGACTCATTTGTCTAGCTCAAAGAGATAAGCCAACCTCTTATCTAAAGGCGCGCCTTAGCCCATGATAGCGCGTGAAACATTCCCAGAGATATCGGAGTTGACTTCCAGGAGTCGGCTTAACCGATGTGGGGGCCCTATTCCCGGCCGTTGGAGCCGTCGGAGTCTCTTGCCTTTGATTAACTCCAACCGTCTGATAGGTGCACCAAGGCTTCAACCTATCGGCCTCGAATCGGCGTTGGTTCTCCTCACTCCAGTCGTCATCTGAACATGCACGCCTTGTCGGATATTATTTAAGCAAATCATACGATGGGCATCATACCAAAATGTCACCTACCAAAGCCAGATCGATTGCGAAACATTCAAGCCAAGAAAACCAATACTCACGTTCAATATGCGTCTTGCAGATGCAATCCTACTCTGCGCGGGTGCTGACCTTGCAGCTGCCCTGAATGTTGGCCCGAACTATCAATATCCCCTTGAAGGTATGTTTGTTCAGTCGTCTCGGTGATTGGTTCCAAGGTTCCTAGCTAAGCTTCTCCCCAGATCTAGACAAAGATCTGCCCTTTTCCCAGCCTGTGACATTTGCGCACTTGGAATGGCAACGTTGTTTAGCGGAGTCGCATAACAAGGTAAATTACCTGCAGCCTAAAAGCCATGCGAAGTTTCATCTGACCTTGAGTTCAGCCTCTAGACATTGCCGTTCTTGGATTCCCTTATGACACTTCTACTTCTTACCGTCCCGGAGCTCGCTTCGGCCCGAGAGGTATTCGGGCTGGGTCGTCCAGGGAGAAGAAAGGGCGTAGTTACAATACCGTGTGGGAGGTTGACCCCTACGAACAGGGGCTGGAAATTGTGAGAGCTTATCTGATTGAACACCCTCATGGACCTTGTAACACTAACACAATACCGCGGTGAAAGATCGACTGTGGAGATGTGCCCATCACGCCGTTCGATGCCAGCCATGCGTTCAAACAGATGGAACAGGCGTATCGACAGATTCTCTACCATCCGACCACCGACCAGAGTAAGTCTACTGGTGTTGGTAACAACAGGCATGCAGAGTAACCACAACCGCTAACCTCCATTCTAGATGAATGGGAACACCCCCGTATCATCAGCCTCGGAGGTGATCACTCTATAGTCTTGCCGATTCTTCGCAGTCTGAAGACCGTTTATGGACCCATCTCCGTCATCCATCTCGATTCACACCTTGACACGTAAGGCTCTTCTCATCAATCGCTCCTGGCTTGTGGCATCGACCACTAACAATGCTCATGCGCAGATGGGATCCTTATGAAGGCTACACTGGAATCGTTTCGAACCAGTCCGCCATTACCCATGGAACCTTCTTCTGGCATGCGAGCCGAGAAGGGTGCATCAGCAAGGGCACGAGTGTTCATGGTGGTCTGAGGACCAAGCTCTTTGTGAGTAGCGATTCATATTAGTTTCACAGTGATCAACTTATCTGACATAATGCAGAGCCCGAAAGACTATGAAATCGACAGAGATGTTGTCGGATTCACCATAATTGAAGCTCATGAGATTGACGATATTGGCATGAGTGGCATTGTCAAGAAAGTCAGAGACGCAGTCGGCAATACGCCAGTGTATCTTTCCATCGACATTGATGGCAAGTTGGGGCCGTCCTATCATGACGAATGTTTAACTGACAACGCTACAGTCCTTGATCCGAGCATTGCTCCAGCTACTGGAACACCAGAGTCAGGCGGTTGGACAACGAGAGAGTTGAAGCGATTCCTCAAGGGTCTTGAAGGACTCAACCTGGTTGGTGCTGATGTCGTTGAAGTCAGCCCGCCTTATGACTCTGTGGCTGAGACAACTTCCGTCGCTGCCGCTGACTTGATTGTCGACATCCTGGCTGGCATGACGAAGAAGAAGACTTTTAATCCGCCCAGAAACGAGAAAGACGAGTTGTAGTCACTGCCTGTCAACAAGGAGAAAAACGCCAATTACTCGCCGCAAAATCATAGCGACAAAGGAGAGAAACTTGGCTGCTCGAGAAAGGCGAGAAGAACCGGACTATTGAGGCCATGAGCTGAGAATATTTTCGAAAAGCCAGTCATGTTTTTGCTCGCTCACCTCACTCTTTTTGGCAAGTCATCCGTAATACCAGGGGGTTTGCTGACGGTGCTTATGGCGATTTACGTAACCTCGTCATCCCCCCTGCTCCCTCAACTCAGTTGAATGTGAGGATGCTTGAAAGTCTGCAACTCATTACCATCAGCTCTATTGAAAAATACTATTCTAGGACAAGGGGAAATCAGCATCTGGGGAACAGAAGATCATGCAAACTTTGAAAAGAAGCATAAATGTGCCTGGGGCTGAACTAACTCCCTTGGAGATCGCTGCAACATCACCGAAAATCCGTTGTAATGGGCTAATCCAGAACGGTCTTCAGTGGGGTTGACAAGGCTTTGAGGTCGTATTTTGTAATTGATATCCACCTTGAAGAAAACGGTGCTGGATAACCGTCTCCTTTTCTCCCGGGAATCCCATCTTGTCAATATGCATTTCACGTTCTCTACATCTTGAAGGTATTGGCCGATTGACACAATATGCACTTCAACGACATGTCGCCATCAGCTGCGGCCCTTGCCATGTTGCTCTCTGGCTTGTTGCCCTCGGTCCTGGCAAGCGTTTGCAGCAACGCAACTCAATCTGCGCCTCACGCCCGCACATCCAAAGGTCTGGTCAAGGGATACCATGACGCAAGTTGCAACTCGGTATTCCTAGGCATCCCATTTGCTGCCACAACAGCTGGCGAAAACCGATGGAGGGCGCCGCAAGATGTGCCAAAGTCCAACACGACGGTGATCGCAACCTCCTATGGTCCTACTTGCCCTCAAGCGATGTCTGGCGCTCTCTACAGCCAGCAAGATGAGGATTGCCTCAACCTCAACATCTGGGCACCCTCTACGGGCGAGAACTTGCCTGTGTTCGTGTACATGTATGGAGGCGCAATGGTCACTGGTTCCAGCAGCAATCCTCAACTTCAAGGGTCCAACTTTGCCCGCAACGGTGTAATATACGTCAACTTCAACACCCGCGAGAGTATCTATGCCTCGCCGCACTCGTCAGAACTCGGCTCAGCGTCTCCCGGGGAATCACAAAACTTCAGTATATTGGACGTCGAAATGGCACTCGACTGGGTCCGTGATAACATCCATGCGTTCGGAGGCAACCCCAATCATGTTGTATTCGGTGGTCATTCGTCCGGAGCCGTGCAGGTCGATCACTACCTCTGGAATCACCCAGATTCGTGGCTCAAGGGAGCAGTGCAGATGAGCGCAAATGCCATGTCCGGGCCGGCATACGCGCCAGTCGATCAAGCACTCGATGCCGTAGCAGCTGAGGTTGGCTGTCCGAAGGCAGGGGATAACCAAGTCGAGTGCCTGCGCAGCGTCGACTCGTACGCTTTCCAGACAGCTGACTTCAACTCAACCTTCAACACGTGGTTCACTCCCGTCATTGATAACCTTACAAGGCAATCTGATTATGCTGCAAGGTTTGCGGCCGGCCAGTATGCATCACACGTGCCCCTCCTTACGGGGACTTCTGATGGTGAGGGCACCATCTTTAGCCTGGTGTATGGTGCCGAAAACAGCAACTTCAGCTCTTGGATCAACACTTTCGATGCGGATAGTGCACACATTGAAGACGACGTCCTACTGTTAGCGTATAATGCTTCTGATTATGAGACAGAGTCCCTCAGAAGTGGTACCCAGTATGGCGACGCCCGTTTCAACTGCGCCGTCGACTATCTTCTTGACCTGCGCAGTGCCAAGCAAGACACCTGGGTCTATAGGTTCTTCGGAGCATACGACAACGTGGTTGGGGTTCCGGGCACGGCACCCACACACGGAACCGAGGTGCCCTTCTTCCATGGTGGCAACGAGTGCTTCGATTCACTTACGGGCGTAACTGAGGCACAGCAGGCGCTGGCTGATTCCATCCATAGTTGGTTCGTGGACTGGATCAAGAACCCGACTGCCGGGCCTGGATGGGCCAAGGGGTCGCCTCAGTCTGGGCCTTTGGTCAAGCTTGGAGTCCCTGGAGACGAGTTGTCTGCCATTAAGGGGTCAACCGGCGATTTCAATGCTCGCTGCAAGTCGGTACGTATCCTGCAATATCTTACTTCCTGTATGAGACATCTTACTGATCACATTTCAGGTCTACGCACCTGCGTTTTCCAAGTACCCGGTCATTCAGTCTCCTCTTTAAGTGGTGTTCTGGCGTATCTGAGCATGCAAGTCCAGTACCGACTCCGGAGATGGAGGCAGGAGTTCGGAAATTTTCATGAAGAGGGCTGGATCGCGAGTATGCACGCATTTTTGATGATGATCTTTCTGGCCCAGTCCACAAGCATGCTCCTCCATAATGGCACCACTAATTAGACTGCGCTTTTCCAGTATCTACTGAAATCGAATATAATACATCTTACTTCTGTTAGACGAGTAAACCCGAAATACCTTGTTGCAGCAACTTAGATTTGCCCATACTGCTGCGTCTTTCACTCATAGGCTATAGCAGATCACATTGTGACATTATTCTCGCTTCCAGTACACAGGGTGACAGGCTTCCCAAAGAACTGAGTAATCTGTTCATGGTCTGTGGAGAAACCAGACAAGCACCGAAGATCCTTTAGGAGCCGGTACCCTGCCACAATGCATCGCGAGCTTCCGACCCAGCAGCATAATAGGAGAGGGGACAGTCACTGGGTTTGTCTCTCAGCCAAGTAAAGAAACTGGTGTGATCATCTTGCAGCCAAATGATATCCAATCTGCAAGGTTCATTCATACGTACAAATCCTCTTTCCTCTATTAAACAATATTTGAGCCATCAGAGCACTCCTCGCATGCAAGTACCTTGTTGTAAGCAATGTCTCCTGGTTCAGGCACAAAGTTCACGCCAGATAGGTACTAGATGGACATGGACCCTGGTCACCTGCTGCTCGCATACTGGCGAGCCTCCTCTTTTGCTCCTATCTTTGTTCTTGGGGTCGTTCTTTTGCTAGACGGCTACATGTCTCTGACTTGGCTGACGCTCTTGTTTGTCATGTCCGAAAGTTGATGTACTACGGCTGTCTTCATCTGTTTTCTTACTTTTTTTTCTCTATGCTCAGTAATCATGCGGAATTTATCCGTGTTTATGAGCAGACATTGATGGTCCCCGGTTCAAAAGGCTTGTGAAATAGAATTGCCCCCGGTTCCAACAGAAAATGGTCTGCCAGGGGTTTACGTGGTCCTTGTCCGCATGCAGAATCGAAAGACACTCCACACCCTTCACTATCCCAAGCGGAAAGACTTTCCGATAGGTCCCCTTGCAGACTCCATTTGCTCTTACACGCAGTGTTGAAATTGGCCTTGATCCCCACGACCCTTGCTGAAGAGCCCAACCGGAGAGACGGATATGGCCTCCGTCGCCGCGGATCCACTTCCGCCCGGGGTATGACGGTGATGTGGGATAGAACTTCGACCGCATGTGACCCGTCGTATTTGATGCGATGATTTGACAACAACCAACAGCACATTCTCCCATTTCAGAACACATTCCGCAAAGCTGCCGGGAGCCTTGTTGCCACTATCGCCAAGATCATACAAGTCATTTCTCATCAAAGAAAAGAGAGATGAATTGGCAGCACATTGCCATTGAGCGACATGTACATGAGTGGGGAGTAGACTTGCGGATTTCACGCGGTCAAGTGATGTAATAGGATTGAAGAGCCAACACATCTACTGGATTATTACATGTACTCGGGTCTCCGGTTAAATTACTCTATACGGCAGGCTGCTCTCTCTTGCAAAATCTAAGTTGAAATAAATGGTGGATTTCCACCCAAGCCCTACAGGTACGACTCAAAGATTTTCTGAAACTTTTCCCGCGTAGCCTGACTTCCCACCCACACATCCTGCTTCCCATCAACGATCTCGATGTCGGTACCAACAAATGTTGCGACCATGCCGTTACCAAAAGCACCCTTGTCGATGAAGACATGCTCGTCAGGCTCAACAACAGCAAGGTAGTAAGGGTGAGAAAGCATTGCCGTGAGGACGGCGGGAGACTTGTACAGGAACATGGCAATGCCGTCAAAGTCAACAGGGACGGTAGACGCTGGCACGGTTGAACCTGCTTCGGTGGGAAGAATCTGGCCACCGACTTGGATCTATGACAGGATCAATTTATGCTCCTTGCTGGCTCGCAGTAGTGCAAAATACGGGGTTCCAGTTCACAAACCTGCTGGTAACGCGTGATGTTGAAGTGCACAGCCAAGGGGGCGACCTTGGGGGCGTGCTGGGTCTGCCAGTAATCCCAGAACTGCTCCTGGGTCAAGTTGGTCGCTCGCTTGACGTAGGTGACCATCTGCGCCTGCCCAGTATTTGAGCATGCGGCCATACCGCTGGCGATCAGCGTGGCTGCGATGGTGAGCGGGACGGAGAGGCGGACCATCTTGGCTGAGATTAGGTTGAAGATGAGAGTGAGAAAGAACGAAGAGGTGCCCGAGTACCTGGACTTGACTTGTGTCTCCTGGGGTTCCAGAAAGAAAGAATGGAATGGATCTGAGCCTTTATGTCTTTCGATCTTGGGTGGGTTCCGGGCCGGGGCTCCAGCTCAGGTTGTCGGAATCCAATATTGTTCACAATACCATGCTCTATTAAGATTGGCTGCAAGGGTTGCTGTTGTTTGCGTCGTTGGCATGATGAGTATCTCATGGTTCGGTTCTCGCGGTTGATCAATAGAGAGTCTAGACTCGTGGTCCAGAATCTACCAACTGTGCCACTCATGCTCTCGCAGGACGGTCATTCGATCCACGCCGGTTGAGAACGCAAGGGTTTGAGTAACCAGGTATCACATCGGTCCGGATGTTCAACTAATATTCGCGAAACTTGCTGCAGGTAGGCAGCCCTGTCCTGCGTTGCTTGGCCATCTGATGCGTGACAATATGTACAGAACAAGGTCCATCCGAAAGCAAGGGCCCATGCAGTTCTCCAGGCCAGGGGCGATGCTCCTGTTGGTTGACAGATAACAGCAATGTGATAGCTCAGCCCGCCTCCTCAGAGCCCTTCCCAGTCACATCAGTCATGTTTAATATAATCTGAGGACCGAATACTCGTCATTTGCCGTGATAAGGTGAGCACAATGAAAGATCAGAGCCCAAGCAGATCAGAGAATGGAATGTGCGCAATGCTTAAATATTGAGGGTTGCAGCTGTTTGTTCGCGTAGTATGTAGGGATGGCTTTTTCGTCAGTCTGTCTTTTCTGAATTTTTATCTTCCTCTCCGTTGGGCTTCTGAGATCGTCAACACTGGGTCATTCTCATGGCCGAGTTTCCAGCCACTAATGGCATCACAACTGTCATCAAAGCCCCCGAGGGTTACCTGGTAGATTTGGAGCATCCGCAACAACAAAAAGTGCTCGAACATTATCTGGTGTTTGGAATCTTGGGGCCCTTGGCATTTTTGACTCTGATCCAGAGATTCTACACGAAGTTCTGTCTATCCGATGGCCCAAAGATCGACGATTGTGAGTGACTTGGCATCACGCAACCATGCTGTTGTTGACGTTCATTCCCCACAGTTCTGATATTCTTCGCATGGGTAAACATCTGACACACCGCTATGTGACCCCGAAGGAAACTGATTCTCTCAAGGTTTGTTCTGTTGTTATGCAGTCGGTGCAAATATGTAAGATGCTATACCTTCAGGTTCTCGGGGCTCGATCAAGACACTGATATCGTACTTCAGGGTCTATATCGATAGGGGGTTTGGGTCACCACGCCTTCGAGATGTCCATACAGATATACGAGAAGCATATGCTGGTGAGTGTTCTGGTCGATGTCGAAATGGATGCTGTCGATGTCAATTTGCCTTCAATTCTGACATATCCCATAGAGCTCTTATATTGTTGCCCCGGTGTTTATTACCTGCAACGGCTTGACGAAAACCTCGCTTCTGACCGCCTATCTCAATATTTCACCACAAAGATGGTACCGAAACGCGATACTGACAGCCATTGCTATGGTTGCTGCATACACTGTCATCATCGCGTCACTTCTCCTTTTCCACTGTCAACCCATTCGCACAAACTGGGACCCGTACACCCCCGGAACATGTCTAAACTCAGCAGAGCTCTACATGGCCATCGCCGTTTCCAACATTGTTTCTGACGTTGTCCTTTTCATCATACCAATCCCCATGGTTCTTCGTTTGCAGATGCGGCCAGCTGTCAAAGTCGGCGCCGTGCTCATGTTTGGCATTGGATCCATGTATGAGTACCACATTCCAGCCTATCGAGGAGAGGTATACTGATTCCCTGCCCAGAACTGTTACAACATCTGTCGTCCGTATGATTTACTTGCAGTCACTTCTTTCATCCAACGATATTCCATGGGTAGCAGCCCCGGCAAATGTCTGGTCGTAAGTCCTCAATCCCATCCTCCTCCACAGCCCTCCATATGCCAGGCTTGTAACTAACGACTTCCCGCTTAAAGTTTTGTCGAGGTGAATCTATTCATCACATGCGGATCAATGCCTACCCTGCGCAGATTCTTTCGGGGAATGGCACCGAGACTCATTGCCTCGGAAGGGTCGAGAGTGAAGGAAAGCACACACCCCAGTATTTCTCGAGGGCCGCGTAGCAGATACTCACAGTTTGACGTTGAGATGGATAGCCTTTCCAGTGAAAGTGGAGTTTTGGAAGAAAGCAAACAGCGCAAATCAAAAGCGGGAATATGATTTGAAAAATCCTCTATTATCGACAGCCTTCGGTGGAAGCCACCTAATTCAAATATCTCAATGAGGTCTGGTATCTCGATTCTATGAGGCTCTTCTTCAATGGTAGTACAAGCTTTACACAATCCATATTCAACCGATTGTGCTATGATTTGATTCTTTTGTCTCTTTCAATACTAAAGGATATTATTACTGAATAGATAATTCTATACCTGTGAATTCTACTTCCTTGATAGTAACCTTGGACAGTTGAGGCGAGTTGGGGACTTCGAGCAAGCTCCTAAGACCCCTACGATTCGCAGCTACAATGGCCTGCGCGGAGATTGATTAGCTCTATACGCCATGGAATCAACGGCCCTGACATGAAGCCTACCTGTGCGAGCACTTTTGCAACGCTCCCTGGGAGATTCACAGCACAGGACAATAATTTTACTCTTGAATCAAGGAAGGATCTTGCGACGCCGCCTATGCGTTTCAATCCAGGGACGCCTTCCAAGAGCTCATGACCGTGATACGTCACGACCAGAAAACAAGGGGCATCCGGTCGCGCTCCGGAGACTTCGTTCACTAAGTCTTGGATTTCGACCCGCACCACGTTCTCCTTGCTTACGAGAATCAAGAATGCGTCCGCATATTTGTATAACTCTTGCGTGAGAGAGCGATCACCTTCTAGTCCTGTCGTGTCACGCAAGTCAAGACCCAGTAATTTACCACGCACACTGTCTATATCAGCACGTGATTCGTGGACAGTTTTGACAGACAAGAGTTTTGGTGTTGCCAGAGACACGTACCGTACTGCATGCCGAGAATAGTGAGCACGATTTGGGATGTGTACATCTTTTTCGGATGATGACATCAACCATGTTTGGTTGACAAAAGTATCAATCATCTCACTCTTAAGCGATTTAGAGTCTCCTACTATGACAACACTAAACTCCTTAACATGAAAGCCATTTGGAGAGGAGATGAAGTACTCACGTGACAGTTGTCCACCCTTCATATTGAATTTCGAGCTTTCTGTACGCGACGTCATCAGACTGATCAAATTTGGAAGCAAATGTCCCCGCCAGTCTTTTCCCCCTGATGACGGCTCGAGACAGGGAGTCGCTACGTGCCAATGGTCTGGGGCCAGTCCGGTCTTCCATGGATTGCTGCTCCATCAAAAGATTTGAAAATATTGACCCTGGTGCAATCTTGTTCATCTCCTTGAGAGTGATTGGCAATCTAAACGCCGACAGAATGGAAATGTTGCTGATGCTGAGACCTGAGAGCATACTCCAAGCACTCGTGGGGGCGTTGGATGTTGTGAATGAGGATCTGTCTGTTTCGCGGTCTTGGGTCCGTTTATAAACCCTCGATTGGCCCAGGTCGAGCTCGAAATTCCTTCTTGATAGCGTCGTGATCGGTGATCCGTCCAAAGGTTGTGGCCTCCGAAAGACGGATGAAGGGGATCCGCAGATAACACTTTGTGTAGATCCAGGTCTACTCATTATTGAGGACGCATCGTCCATGAACTTGACAGACCTTGTGTCCCACGATGCTTCGCTGTCAAGCAGCTTCAAATTTTCGGCCAATGTTCGGTTTTGCTCGAGAATTTCGTCCACTTTGGCCAACATAGTGGCTTGAGAGCGAATCGCTTCTTCTTGGGTCTCGCTACGACAAGATGAATCAATGTTAGAATACCCAGTACCTCTGACTATCTGCTACTCACCTGTTTAGGATTGTGACCATTACAGCCAATGTTGACTTCTGAGACTCCAATAGGGGAAGAAGAGCCAGGATCTTCTTTTCGTGCCACAGCGCCCATTTCATCCGGGACCGCAGCCCATCCTGCTGGCAGACGATGGATTCGAGTTTTGAAAGGGTCAGCACTGAATGCGTGATGACGATGGAAAGGTGATCGAGCTGAATCATGTTCTTGCGGGAACTGGGGAAGCTGTCGATGGAATGAAGCAGCTTGTGGACAGAAGACAGAGTTATCTTCGTCTCTTCAATTAGTTGAAACATTTGCATCGCGGACTCGGGGGCATCGATGGCGCTGGAGACGAAATTGTAGGTGGTGTTGTATACTTTGACCGCGGTGGCCAATAATCCAGCAACCGAGCCAGCGATACTGAGAGGGTCGGCCATGTTGGTCACTCTGATTCGCAGAGGATATCTGAAAGACGGGAGCGGCTCTGGAGGAAGAATTTTGGAAGGAGTGATACTGTCTTGAGATACCCGCATAAAAGATACTGGTCACCAGTATTTACAAGAAGGCAAACGTCCCGGCGAAATCCCTCCTGGGGATCGAGGCTTCCAAGTCTTTCAGCTTCGTATCATCCTTGTTGGACGTGCCTGGCGCCAGGGGAGTTGGAGGCTTAGGCGCTTTTACCCCTGACCAGATGACAAGGCAGACCTGCAGGTCGGCCTTTTGGTCACCTTTACTAACCGCCATTACTGGCTCATCATGCTAGAGAAAGTAGACCGCCTAGTCGGGCGCCTTGAAGGTTGCCTACTGGCGAACCACACCTATGGAAAAAGCCTTGTAATTATTTGCAAAAAGCAATGTTTCATTTTTCAATAATTGTCAAACCCTTCGCCACACCACAGCCTTCGAGGGTCGCGAACGCATATGGACGTGATGGAGCTCACACTCCTAATGAATCTTGCTTCTGTTGAAGTGACATTTGTTTTCGATCGTTGGGCCAACGGCAACTGAGTCGGCCGATTGATGGGCCCTCTCAAGATAATCAACTTAGTCTTTACTGTATCTTGGGAGAAATTGCATTCAAAAGGCACAGACAAGACCCCCTTCCAATAGTCTCAATTCCCAGACCAGGGGGGGGGGGCTGGTCGCTCAGAGTGTCCTGGTGATGTGTTTACACTTGTAGTAACCCATGAGGTGGTTCTCCTGAGTACTCGGCCAAAGTTGCGCCAGAGTTGCGTTGTGACAATGAGGGAAAGGTGAGGTGTTTTGCCAAAGATGAAGACGAGATGTTAAAGAAAGAGAACTCGGTCAAGCACAACTAACTACTTTCCTAACTACTAGGTAAGTGGTCTACAATAAAAAGTCAACGTCGGCTAGCAACCCATCGCCCGCATCAGGCGGGGCCGTAAACCCGGCGTCCCCTCTCGGCCCCCCGAACCAAGCTTTCTCATCCGGACTTTCCAACGTCAAAGCTCCCCCTCCTCACACAATAACACCACCGAAATCTCAAGTCAGGGAACCCCCACCGACTTCCAAAACCTTCTAACACGCTCTACGCTCCGAAACCAAACACCAGAGTGAGAACGTTGGTCTGATGTTTCCACCACACGATGACCTCACCTAAATCCCCAGGCAACTGCCAAGAACCTTTCGCAAACCCCTCTTCTTCACCCACGGCCCCCGGCCTTCGGGAAAACACTGACTACCGTACTGTGCAGTATATACGCCTCCTCAACTTACCGACTAATGAACTTTCCCCGGCAGTCTGCAGCCAGAAGGTGTCAAAACTGGCAGTCAATGACACTTGACACCGTTGTGGCCCACACGTACGCACGCGGCACGCCCGCACCACACCGCACAGGTGCGAGTTGTTTGGACTGTTGTTGCGATCCCCTCTTTTTCCCGATCCCAACTTTGATGCGGCCGGTGGAATCATGGAGAAAAAGCTTCTTTCGTCTTCGGTGGGTGGTATAAGTTCCCGGCCTCTGGAACTCCCCCACTCCTCAACCCTCAAGTCCAAGAAACCGCGATAGTTGTCACTGTCGCTCGACTCTGAAGCCATCATCACAACAATCACACAACTAAACACCACAAAACAATGCGTCTAACAACATCCCTCCTCGCCCTCCTCCTCCCAACAACCCTCGCCCTCCCCACCGCAAAAGACAACAAAGTCTTCGCCCCAACCCCCGACTCACCACCCCCCCACGACCTCGGCCTCCACACGGGCAAAATCGGCGTAGACAACGTCGACCTCTCCGCCCTACGCGTAGACCCCGTCCGCGTCATCAGCAGAATCCAATCATCCTCGCACTTTACCTCGTCTCTCCTCACAAAGCGTCGAGACGTGCTGCTCGAGGAACAAGACGGACGGATCAATATCGCCAAACAGAAACGCTCGCATATTCAGGTTGATCCGGTCGAGGTAAATGTTCATATCATGAGACCTTCTGTTCATACGGTGCCTGCTGGTGGGAAGAGTGCCAAGGTGGAGGAGGTGCAGAGGGAGACGGGTAAGGAAGGGGATGAGGGTGCGAAGGATGTGGAACCGAAGCCCAAGTACATTCCAAAGTTCATGCTTGATTATAGTACGGGTGGATGGTTTAGGCGTTTTATCCGATTCTAAGGATAGGACTTCGCTTGAGGCGCCGGGTAGGGAAAATCAGGCCTGGTTGATGGCGGTCTCGACTTGCGTTTCTCGGCTTGTACGCAACATTGTCTTGTGTTTATCGGCTTGTTCAGCGAGTTATTTGCGTACATCAAGCTTGGGAGGTATATTGTCGTGCAATCTTGGGAATTTTGGGAGGGTGGTTTTGATTTTGGGCGTATTGGACAATGGGATGGGAAAGAAATGGATGAAAATAGGGATCGTTTTGTGAAGGCAGTGAACTTTCGCAGATGCAATTCGTATCCTGGTTAACTAGATACGATGGTATAGTTGTGATGAAAGCGACAATAACACGATAGCAACTGCCGAGGCTCTTATACCTTGATAGTGACTGGTATCGCAGACTCTTATTCATAATCATCGTTAATTAAGTACACTCGCGCCCCTCGAGGTTATACAAGCGAGCCGACAATAGAGGTGAAAATGCATAACTCATACAGACGAAAATTGCCTGTCCTAACTGCAGGCCGAAGATGAGGTATGGGGTATGCTTCCGACGCCAGTGATATGCAACCAAGAACACGCAGGACCCCCCCCCTCCCTTTGAACCGTGACCATTACGAACCCCAAACAAAGCTCCTCTTCATGTTCACGTCAGTATTTAGCGGGCCATCTGGCACCGGGTGGTTCAGTGGTCGAGCTCAAGGACGGGCAAATCCTTGCTTCGCCTAAGAATTGTTAGTGATGTGGAATAGATGACACCGGATCAAGAGGTGAACTGACCTTCATTTGTTCAATCCTGGCTTTCAGTTGGCTGGTCACTTCAGCTGCACGCTTCCAGCTCTCCACACCGTTGTTGTTCGAGTTCATGCCACCGCCTCCACCGCCGCCACCGCCGCCAGACGAGTATGATGGTGCCGGTATATCATCAACGGGGGTGGCCGCAGAGCTCCTGTAGCCTCTAGCAGGGCTGCCGCGTCCGGAAGATGCACTGCCCGTATACCTAAGTTCGGGACTAAGTGCTTTTGAGCGAGGGTAGTGATGATCTCCGTTCTCCTTCTCCTCAGACATGTTGCTGGCGTAACTAACACGATTGTGTCGAGCAGAAGATGAGCCGTAGGATGCGTCGCGGTAGATACCAGCGTCGTCGTGTGTAGGCGAAGCAAGACCTGCGACTAAATCAGTACATGGCCACACACTAGTAGAAGAAGGTGCTATCTTACCAGGACTGCCCATGCCTGTCCTCGAGTTCAGGGCCTCGGCGTGGTTGAGCGCTCTCTTAAGGCGGTCCAGCTCCCGTCGGAGACGATCATTCGTTGATTCTGTGGCCTCTGCATCACTTCTCGCACGAACCAACTGCGTCTCCTTGGCCTTGATGCTGAGGACATCGCGGGTGTGGTCTTCGATCAGACCGGCGTTTTGGTTCTTCAATTCTTGAATCTCAGACATGTACTTGCTCCTTTCATGCCTCATTTCCTCCACTTGGCGTGTCAGGCGCTCGTTTGCCGATCTGAGTTCTTCGAGCTCAGCCCGCTCCATTGCCGTGAGTCCACTGGACGGCGGCGGCGATGCAGGGGGCATCTGAACAGGAGCGGCAGCAGGTTTCGCAAGGGACCGTCCTGCAAGACCACCTCTGCCGAGGCCAATGCGAGGCTGAGGCGGGGGAGGGGCAGGCTCATCATCGTCGGGCATAATTGGTGCGGCAGCAGGGCGTCGAGGAGAGCCGGCCGCTGGCGCACCCAGGGGGCGCTTCGATTTGAGGCCGGCCAAGCCCGAAGGCTTTGGCATGCCCATCTTCGTGCCTGCGGGTTTGGGACGAGATGAAGCTTGCGGGGAGAGGGGTTCCGGGTCGACGGGCGGCGGGGCGCTTGCCGCCGGCATGGCCGGTCTCTTCATGCCCAGGGGCTTCTTCCCTCCGACGACCTTCTTTGGAGGCGGTGCCTTGGCAGCTGGCGGGGGTGCCTTCGGCTTCTCCTTTGCCTTGACTTCAGCCGTCTCGAAGAATTCTTTGATTTTCGTCTTGCGGATATCGTCTAGGCCTTCCATGTGCGGGCCCATACCGCGCTCGCCAATGATCTTCATAACAGTGCCCAAAATCTCAGCACCGCCTGAACGGAGGCCCTCGCTGGACTCGGTCAACAGTTTCTTGCCCGCCTCGACAATGGACGCGATCTCCGGCTTACTCGGCACATCGCGTGTCGTTCTCAGGCAACGAATCAGGAACTTCATGGTGCCCTCCTTGATCTGGGGGTTCTTGTGGACGAGGTAGGTGTTGATGTCTTCGAGACAGTCAGTCAGACTTGTCGCCAGGAAGACTTGGTCAAGCGCGGCGCCGAGAGCATCCGCCACTGTTGCCTTCTTCTCCTTCAAGCGTTCCATAATGGGTTGCATCACAGTAGTGCGGTGTTTCGCGTAGCCTTGCCTCAATCCCTTGGCCAAGACCTCGATACACTGCGCGGCTTGAGTCACAACCGCAACGTTGGCGTCCTTCATGCACTTTGCCAGCCCTCGGTTGATCTCGTTGAAGTCGCCATCCTTGATTCTTGGCACGTTGATTGCCGCGTAGAGACCTTCCACTGCCTCCTTTCTCTCCTTCCATTTGGACGAGGCCAAGGCTTCGTTAAAGTTGGCGGGGATCTTGCCAAAGACATCCTGGGGTTCCGCCAGGTCAAAGGCATCCATCTCGGCTGGTTCCTCGCCATAGTCTCCGCCATCATCGTACTCGTCGTCCGCTCCGGGCGGGGGCGCACGTGCCATGGCGGCTTGTTGTGAGCGCAAGAATCGTTCTTGCTTCGGAGCTGGCTCGGCCTTGATCTTTTCGAATTGCGCCTCGAGGTCGGTCTGCTGAGTGGGTTTCAAATCGCCCCAGAACATGGGCTTCATGGCTTCGCGCAGCCATCGGTAGAATTCGACCGCAAGGTTCGTCGCGGCAGCACGGACATTCTTGTCGGCATGACCAAATGCCTTGGGGAGGACCTTCAACACGGGCTTGGGGTCGACTGTCTTGCATCCGAAGTTGTGGTAGATTGCGGTCAGGGCGGTAATAGCCGCGGCGACAACCTTGGGTTGCTTGTTGGCAAGCGCCGGGATAATCTCTTCGATGACTGGGGCGGCAACATCGAGTTCGACGAGTAGTAGAAGAGCTTCGAGAGACGACTCCTTGGCGGCGGCACGTGTTGAAGGCAAACCCTTTTCACAAATAGGCCCTATCGTAGTTCCGCGTGTCCTTGTGCAGTGTTCCTTTCCTCCGAATTTGAGAAACGCGCAGTACGCTGCCAAGCCATCTTGTTGAGCAGCAACGTTGGAATCGGCGACGGCGCCTTTCCAAAGGCCCGAGTCGGAGAGAAAGGGTCTGAAGGCATTGTCGTACTCGTCGGCAGTGGCAGCGAAGGCTTTTGCGGCGTCTTCGTAGGCCTGTTTTCTTACTTTCCAAACCTGCGGCGCGTCAGCGCATCAAACACGGCGCAGCAGAGGCGGCAATGTCATACCTTGTGGGTAAACCTATCCTGGAGGGGAAGGGAGCTAAAGTCTTCTTCTTCAGCCATCGGAATGGAGGCTTGCTGGCGGGGTGTAGGAGGGACCGGTTTGGGTGTTGGAGGAGCTGGAGTGTGAGGAGGAGGAGGAAGAGCTGAATCGGGGGCGCAGTTCTCCTTGTCGTGGATGTCTGGCTTTCTGAAGCTAGCTACACGTCTGATTAGCCTGGAGAGGGAACGAGTATGTTTGAGATGACGGTCCATATTGAGGAAGGAGGACAGTCACAAGCTGCAGAACGCAATGGTATGCAGGCTGCCGGCAGCTGCAGGCGCAGTGACTGGCGATGTCTGTGGTGATATGGGCGCAAGAGACTGGCATGACTTACAGAATGACGGCCAAACTGGACCAGATCAGGTGAGTTTGAGGTTGTCGCAGCAGCCAAAGACTTGTTGATCGTCAAGCCAATATGGGATTGGCAAGGTACCTGGCAGTGAGCGAGGTAAGTGCGAGCTGTCGAGGTATCCGTTGAGGTATTGGAGATTGCAAAGAAGGTTCCTAGGAGTGTAGGAATAGGAATAGGCAAGGGGAGATCGAGAGATGTGAGGTATGTGCGGTGGTGGTTCTCGTGGAAACAAGGGACCGGGACTGGAGGAAGTCAAATCAGGTCTTGGAGATGACAGAGAAAAAGGAGACTAGAGGTAGTTCCCGTAGCGTGGTTGTTGCAGGTGAAGGTACAAAGCCAACGTCGCCAGTCTGAGGGTTGTGGAATGTGGAGGAAAAGTACGGCTGGGGTTTCTTTTGTTTGTGCTGGTCCGAGGAGCACAGGGAATTTTGGTTGTCGGGACAAGGGCGGAGGGGACGGGCCCAGCAGGTGCTTTGGTGCTTGGCCGTGGTGCTTGGATGGGGTTCACCGTTCACCTCAAGGCTGCGGTCCTGTCAGGGTTGCCAGTTGGTGGGCGCCTGCATTGGGTGCCCTTTTCTCCCTGTTCCTGGCCTGACGTGTTTGTGTGTGGGGGGAGCACAGCAGCTGGGCGCGCATCGGGCAATTGGGCATGAATATGATTGGGTCGCTGGTCTCTCGGGTCAACATAGGTCACATGATTACTCTTGATGCTTGACCAATCGATAAGATTGGATAACCTTGATGGCGGGGCAATCACCATTCACCTGTCTTCACCTTCCATTGGCCTCACCTCAGGCTGACTGACCTTCTTCCCAGAACCTTAGTCATGAAAGCTAGAGCCAGCCATTAAATCAAATTACTTTCTTTTTCCTCCTCTCTGCTTCCCGACGCAAGCACCCAAGATGCGCTTGCTCAATTTGCGCATTAATGGCCGTTGTAAGCCACTCAAACATATCCACTCATTTAAAGGCGGTAAATCATGCCATGAATCAGGCAATTCCACCCTGGGGCTTACACGGTAGTGAAGTAGTTCGGCCCCTAATAAGTGATGATGCTGCAAGTGTCTTTTCTCTGAAGAAATAATGTCCTGTCTGACCTCGCTGGTTGACTGCGACAACTGCAAAAGTGGCTGCACCGCATGTTGATGCTGAAGAATCTCAGGCCAATCAAAGCTCTGTCTATTGCCATAGGAACGGTCCAACACTGTGATGTCATTGGGGGAAAGAGGGACGTACACCTCTAGCCCTCCACACTATCCAAGTGAGACCAGCTGGCGGGACATTAGCCACACTACCATCCCCAAAACTCCCATCAATCCGTATGTGCTGCACCAGCCACACTTCATCCCACCCCACCAAACAGGGTTGACCTCTTTTCTCCCATCTTTTCCCTCTACCAGTGCCACACGCATTGAACACTCGTCGTCGTCGAAGAAGTTTCCCCAGGGTCCCATACGCTCATACGGATACAGCGTACAGAATATCTGGGTCTCGCATATCGGAGGGTCCCTCGTACGCACCGCCTCATCTCCCACCAACTCTTCAGGGAATTCCCTACGTAGCCAACGCCGCCTGAAGCACATGAAACATTTCGCCTTTCCGGCTCCTGCCCACCTTCAAGCGTCACCTTTTGGCTGAGCCTCGCACTTGCACCCCTCGCCTCGTCTCGCCTCGCATTCTTGAACATATTGTCTCTCCTCCAAAAAAAAAAAGTCACGGCTTCTAGACATATCCACGTACTCTGCAAGAAACTCGATCCAATCCTGCAATCTATCGTTACAACACACAGAGATATGCTGCCCAACGCCTGGGAGCCCAACCCCTGACTGAGAACACCCGCCAAAGAAAAGAGACACAGCGAGAGAGGAACTATCCACCCTTGCACACAGCCAAAGAATATCGAGAGCTTGGACACCAACAACACCGACACCGCCTTTACAACTCCGCGAATATCTGCCACTTGGCCCTGGTCCCCGCCAATTCGACCCTGACCTGCCCGACCTCTGCATCTTGCCGTCGCTGCAATAAAATATCCGATTAACGAGGCTACCAATTCCCGTCCTCCCCGACCGCCTCCGAATTTCCATCAGCCTTGTCTTTCCTTTCGGTCAGCTTCTGCCACCTCCGATTGCACGTGGCGCGCCCATCGCGGTTGCTGCGATACCACTACCACTACCACCACCACCACCACCACTACCACCGACAGACGGAGCCCCGAGCACCGTCTTGCAGACGTATCTCGATAACAAACCATCAAACCAGACCTCCTTCGTTTCCATCCGCTCGTGTGCGCCTTGCCGTGCCGCCGGTTTTTCTCAACTCTGTAATTATTTGCAAACAATCCGTTACTTACGTAGCTTCCACCGTCTGCCAGGATGAGCCAAATCCTCACCCCTCGGCAAGCAGAGGAGCTGTAGGTTCCCCTCCTCTTCGCCCAGAGAGCGGCCATGGACGCGACATACTGACCAGCCGGTGGCAGGCACAAGGCCATTATCGCGTACCTCTCCTCGAGCAACCTCCCTAATGCCGCAAATGCCCTCAGAGAAGAATTGCAGATTGGCGACTCTTTCGATGCCGCCACCTCGAAGAAATATGAGGGATTGCTGGAGAAGAAATGGACCAGTGTAGTGCGACTTCAGAAAAAGGTTCGTTGAGCCCCCAGTGGCCTTGGACAATTGCATCCAGCGGCGCTGACCGAGATATTGTTCTCTCTAGATCATGGAACTTGAGTCTCGAAGTGCTTCTCTGCAATCAGAACTCGACAATGCGACACCAACCTCACTATCTCGACGGAATCAGGACCCTACCAGCTGGCTGCCACGTTCCCCCGCCCGACACACCTTACAATCCCACCGCGACCCGATCACCTGCGTAGCATTTCACCCCGTCTTTTCGTCGCTGGCCTCCGGTTCCGAAGACTACACCATTAAAATCTGGGACTGGGAGCTGGGCGAACTCGAGAGGACGATCAAGGGTCACACAAAGGCCGTTTTGGACGTTGATTTTGGAGGGCCCCGCGGTGCTACGCTGCTCGCCTCATGCTCGAGTGATTTGACCATCAAGCTATGGGACCCCTCAGACGAGTACAAGAACATTCGGACGTTGCCTGGCCACGATCACAGCGTCAGTGCGGTTCGATTCATTCCGTCGGGGGCCGCAGGTGCCACAGGAAACCTTCTCGTGTCAGCGAGTCGTGATAAGACATTGCGGATCTGGGATGTGTCAACAGGTTACTGCGTCAAGACACTGCGCGGGCATGCGGATTGGGTACGAGATGTCTGTCCTTCGCCGGATGGACGCTACCTCTTGTCAACCGGGAATGATCAGACGGGCCGCCTCTGGGATATCAGCGCTTCGAATCCCGAAGTCAAGTTGATGCTGGTCGGCCACGAGCACGTTGTGGAATGCTGCACGCTCGCACCGCCAACGGCTTACAGTCACTTGGCGTCATTGGCCGGCCTGAAGAAGGCTCCGCCCGCAACGAACACGGCCGAGTTCATGGCAACGGGCAGCCGTGACAAGGCAATCAGGTTATGGGACGCTCGTGGAAACTGCATCAAGACTCTGCTGGGACATGATAACTGGGTACGCGCGCTGGTTTTCCACCCCGGCGGCAAGTACTTGCTCAGTGTATCTGATGACAAGACTTTGCGATGCTGGGATCTGGCGCAAGAGGGCAAATGCGTCAAGGTCCTTGACGACGTCCACGGCCACTTTGTTTCTTGTCTGCGCTGGGCCCCTGGCATTGCGCGGGAGGCGGCCACCAACGGCGATGGTGCCAATGGCGCCAACGGAACACCGAGCAAAGCGGCGGCAAAGCCCCAGGATGTCTCGATACGCTGCGTCATCGCAACGGGAAGTGTCGACCTGAACGTGCGCATATTCGCCAATTAAACAGCACCCTCACATTGAGGACATTTGACGACAGACGACATATGGGGCAGACGACATCATAAGATAACGTCGCGACGATTGCCGAGGGCGACTCG